CGCGCCAGACGCACGGCCGCGGGCGCGCGGGCGCCCCTTGGAACGTCCCCCGGAGCTCCGGCGGCGCGAGCGCGGGGCCGGGCGCGCACGAGGAAAAGGAGGCGGCGGCCGCGGCTGCGAGCAACAGATCCCGGCGCCTGCGAGCTGACACTCGTCTGCTGCTGGGCCATTTCTTTCCTTTTCAACGAAATTTCAGAAAAAGAAATTTACACTTGGAAAAAAAGACAAACTTTCATTTTTTTTTTTTTTTTTTTTAAAATGGTGCTGGCCCCGGGTCCGCGGGCGGGTTTCTCTGCATCAAGATGGGCTTCGGCGTTTCAGTCCTGGGCACCGGTGGTGGCTTGATTGTCAGTCTTCTCCCGGCGTGTTGCATGTAGGAGAATCCCCTCCCGAGCGCCTGGGCGTTTCGAATTGCTGCAAGGGGCCAAGCGCAGGAGATCTCGTGCACCCGAGCTCTCCGCAGAGCAGCCTGAGAATCGGAGGCGGGTCGCTCCAGGGTGAAATCCGCTCCCGGGCAGAGCGAGCCCCAGCCCAGCGCGTAGTGCCGCGGCCCCGAGAGCCTGTCCTGTCCCCGCCGGCGCCGGGAAAATGGAGGCTGTGATCGAGAAGGAATGCAGCGCGCTCGGTGGCCTCTTCCAGACCATCATCAGCGACATGAAGGTGAGGACGCCGGGGGCGCAGCTGCGGCGGTAGCCGTGCTGACCTCGTCGCGGGGCTTCGCCTGCACCCCGGCCCGCCCGGTCCCTGCCTGCGCCGTGGCCACCGGCCACCTGCGGGAGCTCCGGGACCAGGGTCATCTGCTCACCGCGGCGCCGCTGCCGTCTCTGCTGGGTCACTGGGCGGGCGGCTTCCCCGGGGAAAAAGGGGGAGACCGATGCTCTTTGCGGTTCCCCACGTTCATTATCCAAGGGGGCGGCACCATCTTGTTCCTTTGGGGGCTCAAGGCCCGGGTTCCAAGTTTTCCATTGTCTGTCCCTGGACTGAGTGCCTGCGACCCGTGCAGGCTGGACGCCCGGGCGGACACCTGATTCAGGGTTCAGGGTGGGGTGGTCGGCACGGAGCTGGGGCGGGAGTGGGGTCCCTGCCTGCAGCCAGGCAGGAGACCCCGGCCCTGGAGACTGGATCGCAGGCTTCTTCCCTCCTTGGCTTTCAGGTCTATCTGAAGTAAGGGAATCTGAACAAATGAGTTATTAGTCTGTTCCAGAGCTGCTAAGGGCTTGCAGTGCCTTCCCCGGGCCTTCCCCGAGGGTGCGGGGCAGAAGTTCTCAGGGTAGTCTTGCAGAGACACCCCGAAGCTAAGAGGCTTCCAGCCTGAAAGGCAACGTTGAGGTTTCCCAAACAACTCTATCGAGGTCCCCCAAACACATCCCACACCCCACTCTTCTCTCGGAAGGACTGTGTGTGCGTGCGTGTGCGCGCGTGTGTGTTGGGGGCGGGGAACAACACCCTGGCTTTTTCCTGCAAAGGGTGGGACTGGAGATAACCTGATCCTCGAATGTGGTTTTCTGATGCGTGGAGGTAGACCAAGGGCTTGTTACTCATCCCAAGGAAATAGATGCAGCCCCAGGAGCTGGCTGGAGGTGGGAATTGGGGGCGGTGGGGGTATTTCTTTTCAAGTGTATTTAGGGAGCTTCTCTTTGGCTCGAGGCCAGACCCAGTCTGCCTCAACAGATCCGGGGAGGTGGTGTTTAATTAAAAGCTCGGCTTCCAAAAGAGTGGGCAGGTTTGGAAAGCTGTGCTGGCGAGTGGGTGTGGACAGCCCATCTTCAGCCTCTGCCTGGCGCCTGGGGAAGCTTTTGTCTGATGGAAGTGTAAGGTTTGGAGAGGCCTCCGACATGGACTTTGGGGGAGGAATGCTCAGCTGTCACGCCTGCCTCCTCCTCTAAGAACCAACTGCCACCTCACCCAGGGTGAACTTTGCCAAGGTGCCTCATCCTGCCCTTGTCCATTTTGCAGTCCGACAGAGCTTGTGCTTTTTTGTCAGAAATCCGTGTAGCCTAATCTGTAGCCAGATCCTGCTCTCAGGAATGCCTCTAATCCAGTCACTTGGAATTAGATGGATTAGTCTCTCTTCAAAGACAGCCCCTTTCATTCCTTTCCCTTCAATCCACATTGAATTATTGAAGGGCTTTTAGGAACAAAGATTGGTACCCCTCCTTGGATTCTGTTATTTATTGTTAACTTAAATTCCACCCACCTTATAGTCAAAACAAGATTTGGTTTGAGGCTCCGGAGGTGTATATATGTGTAGAGGAGGCATGTGAGGTGGGTTACTTAAGATGCTTTTAATGTTTTTTTTGGAGGAGATAATATACGAGTCCTGAATAGTAGTTACAAGGAATCCAGGGATCAAACCAAACTGCTGACTGCAGTCTCAGAGTACTCCCACCTGGAGTGTTCTCTCTCTTTGTTCTTTAATTCCAAACCAGGGATCAAGTCTTCCCAGTCAGTGGTTTGAACTGAAAGCCCTTCAGAAGGAACCCTTCCCCAAGGTTGGCCTCTGCCGCCTTCCACCTGCCATATGGCTGCCTGGCACTTGACTCAGTCCAGACATTTGTAGGCACTAATGTGGCTTCTCCCCTCTCCTCAAGATTCAGTTTAAAGACCTTTTAAATACTGCTCCCTCAGTCTTGAATCTAGACTTTGTTTCTCTCTGAGTTTGGTAGATTTGGTCACTATCCTACAGGAAAACATTTATTTTTTTCTTTTGCATTTAGCAGTAGAACATTTTAAAAGCAAGGTGCAGTGGAAGACTTTATTATACTTGGGGTTCTGAAGAAATTTAGACCTTTGTGGAGAAGGATCAGGAGTTAACAGGCAGGGTGTCTCATTTCTAAGATTAGGTATACATAATTGCCAAATATTTCCATGAAGTTTTCTTTCAGACAGCTTTTCCATAGATTGGATAACAGTGATACTTCAAAAGAGAAGTAGAATAATTAAATTTGGTTGATGGGTAAGTGGCATATGATACATGGATATGCGAAGTTGTCAGCAAGAAAAGTCAGGTTTTTCCTGGTCTTTTTGAGACAGAGTCTTCCTGTAGCCCCAATTGGCCTGGAACTCACTATGTAGACCAGGCTGGCCTTGAACTCACAGAGATCCGCCTGCCTCTGCCTCCCAAGTGCTTGGATTAAAGGCGTGCGCCACCACGCCTGGCAAAATGTCTGTTTTTAATATCAGTCCTTTAAGCCCTTATGACCAGCTTCTGCTTTTTGCCCCTTTCTGTTTTCTTTGAGGGAGAAGCCATTTGAAATGCAATCTTGGTACCATTTTAGATTTTTTTTTTTTAAGTGATGTTGAACTGGGGCGAGAAAAAGGATAAGAAAATGGCTTTCTGAGTAGCATTTAATTCTTCAAAATGTACAGCAGAACAGGAAGGGAGTCAATTTCCTCTTTGGAGAAAAAAAAAAGAAAATGGAACAATTTCTAGGCCTGGTATCATCCATCTTCTAAAAGCAAAGAACCTGAAGACACAGAAAAGCTGGGGAGAATTCTTTGTGCTTTCTGCAAAGATTGTTCGTCTGAGTGGGTCCTGGGGGGTCCTCAGTGGTAGGACCTGCCTTTTATCCTTTTCAGGAGTAAGGTGCGGAAGAAATCCTTACTTCCATTGGGCTCCAGCTCCAAGGCAAGCAGCAGCTGTTAAAAAACTTACGGATTCTTTGACTGAGAGGAAACCTTGTTTTTCCCCTCCCTTCCACCCTGCTGTGGTGGTGGTCACTAATGAACCATGGTGTGCAAAATCACTTACTGGCTGTCTTCCCTCCTAAATCACCCTTAAATTGCCTGATGTGAGTTGGTCCCAGAAGGAAAGAGGAGTTAAGCTTTTCATGTGACTTTCTGAGAAGAGTCATGGCTGGCTTACCTGGGGAGCAGTTGTCTGGAGATGACTATTAAGGAGGCCCTGGAATCTTTTTGATTTCTAAGTCCTGGGCAGAATGAACTAAATAAGGCAAACAGATTAGTGTTGTTGGTTTTGAAACATTGAACTGGAATTCAGACATGTTTTGGGAGATTTTAAGACCAGGAGACTCTGCTGGCCAGTTGAGAGCAGCTCACCCTGGGGATAGCTGTCTTCTTTTAATAGTTAACTTTTATTAAAAAACAAACAAACAAAAAAACCAAGTTGGATACGACAATCAAATATTTTCCTACCCTTGTTGCTCAAGCACCAGGATGCCAGGGCCCGGTGGGTCCTGTTGTAGGGAGAACTTTGCCCTCGGTTCAGGCTTATGTAATACGGCTAGAAAAGAATTCACTGCACCAGAATTGCCACCCACTGTCGCTTCAGAGAGGGGTGTCCTGTTACCAGCACCTGTGCTAAGCAGAATAGGGGCCTTGTTCAGTTCCTCCTGGCTGCCCCCACCTCTGTTTACCACCAGTATCCTCTGTCCAAAGTTCTGCCTAAAATTAGAACTGGTAAAGGAGCATCTTGAGTTCTTGGGAATCCCTATTATTCAAAGGCAAATCAAGATATTTCTCCTTATTTATCATGAGATTGAGAATGTGGGTAGCAGGTCAAGCGCTGGATCATCAGGGCTGTTGTGGGGTTCCTGTCATAAGAATCACTTCCTTGGTGTTTATTGAGGGCCTACTATGTGGAAGGCCTTTTGCTAGGCCCAGGCCTTGTTCCCTGTGCTGAGAGTAATAGATCATGTCAGTACCGTATGGTTGTTGGCCATTAGAAGAAGTGCTGCAGTCTCTCTGGACTTGTCTTTCATGCCTCAAAATGAAAAAAAGTTTTCTGTTCTGAAAAACCCAGACAAGTGACCAGGTACTCAGAGGGAAGGGACTGCTCTGGTGATAGCCACACAAAGGCAGCACAAGCAGAGCCCCTGTGAAGGACAGATGGGCCCCATGTTGGCTTTTCTCTTGGCAAATGGGCCAGGGTTTTACAGCTTCCTCATTTGGGGCCTGTGGGAGAAGAAGGCAGAGTAAAGATGTCATAAAATTGTCAGTGGGGGCAGCCCAGAGTGGGTGCTTTGTTCTGAGGTTGTGGGTCTCCTTGTAGATCAGTCTTTTGGGGTTTTTGGGTGTGAATCTTGCCTTCATTGGGAAGAAGCTGTTTTTAGTCATTACTTGAACATGTTGATGGAAAACTCCTTATATATTCTATTTAATCAAATTGTTTAGAACTTTTTGCTTGATGCCCTGAACCTTTTTGTTTTGGAATTCCATAACTGATAATGGCCCAAATGGAGGGAGGAGGCTGTTCCCATGTCAGGGTATGCCCAGAGGTAGGCTGAGTTTAGCTTTAGCCTGGTTCAGCAGTCACTTTTCGAGAGTGTTGTGTATTCTTTCTGCAGTATTTATTATCAGCTGTGTTGACTCACCAATCTGCTAGGATGTCAGCAAGTCAAAATATAGCCTCTCCAGCAATGTTTGCACTTCACATAAGCAGTGAACATTTTTCAGTATATGCATGTCCCTAGCAGGCCCTGTCTTCTGAGCTGCTAACCACCTGCTTGCCCTTTGACCTCTTCTTTTGAATCTTTGACTATAAGTGGAAAAAAAGAAAAAGCCAAAATGATATCTATGGCAGTTTGGCTAGCTCTCGTGAGGTTGCTAAAATGCTCCGAGGTTGAAAAGGTTGAAACTATTGATCTAGTAGATGCTTTATTGTCTATACCTAGACCTTTTCCATCTTTGCAGAGCTGGAT